ACAGTGCTGTGCACAATTGGCAGCCGTGTTTCGCCCACAAAATACACAGTCCACTTTCCAATATATCCAGTGAAGCGATTTGAGATGTCTCAACAACGCAATACGGCTATATCAAATCCACTTAATTGTGACATAAAAGACTTGGGAGTATTCTTTAAGAATTAATGTTATCATTTCCTGTGTACCTGGGAGGAAATGTAGGAGCAGTCACCAGACGTGCATTTTTAGTGTACCTAATGTCAAACTGGTTTACTCAATAACCCCATTGTTTCTGTGCATTGTAATGCCATGAGCACCAGCTCACAGTGAGGGGCAGATAAAAAGATGTAAAGTGGTATTGCTTTTACATTTGAGTGTTTTATCTGGAGGTGAGTCCTAATGTCAATTCACTTTACAGTATACTCTGTGAAGCACTTTGAGACGTCTCAAAGGTGTGATTAGGCGCAATATCAAATGCAAGTATTATTAAATCAAATTCAAAGATTTTTATTATATATTCTCAATTTTCTCAACGCTACATATATGATATATAACATCATCAAAATCTTTCAAAGAGCTACATGGAATTTACTGTAATATATATGGTGACTATGTACTTGTAGTCGAACGCAGTGGTCAATTTGCGCACAGCAATGTCCCATAATATTATAATAATAATCCTTGCATTTGGTAGCGCCTTAGCTTGTTCTCGAGACATCTCAGGATTTTACTATGAATTGTATTTGTAGGCAAACAATCAGCCATGAAGTGAATGACCAATTTATATCAGGACAACCCATATCTTTTTTGAGCAGTGCATGAGATCTTTAACATCCACCTGAACAGGCAATTGGTTTAATGTGTTATCCACAGCCTGGACTGTGAACTCAAAATCCTAATGTGACCTTGAACCCGCAACCTGATGTTGAGTTGCTGGGTCATGGCTGACACCGAATGTCTTGACAGCCGGTATATGTATTGGCTTCTGTGCACATGGAAACTGCTGTTAGATGTTCTGATTGATCTCGCCACCTCAGTAACAACAAAATCATGAAACACTGGCTGCAGGAAAGGTGGGATTCAGATGTTTCCACCCTCCCTCCTCTCCCTTCTTTACTGTTTGGCTATGGAAGATCATTAAACAAATTCTAATGACAGTTCATACAAGAGCAGTACATAATTTGCAAAAAGAAAGTGGCGTCCGAAAGTCTGGAGAAAGTAAGCGGCTGGCGGTCCATTCCTGCTTTCTTTCCAGTGCTTCGATTTAAAACTGGGAGAATGCTTTTTTCCTATTTTAAAACATCAGGGAAGTACCCAAGAGATATTGGTGTGAGAGAGTGAATCCGATCCTGTGAAGAGATCATTAACCCGGGCACTTAGTCTCTGCAGTTAGCTCCTTCATCTTGTCAAACACAAGTGTTCCTCAGCCAGTTTCCCTCTTTGATCTAACCAGCACTTTCTGTGATTAATGGAAAAAGCCTTATAAATAATGATTAGCTTCTTTTTTAACTACAGCTATTTACAGTGATGAAGGGTGAAATTTCAGATATTCATTTTTGTGGCTGTATATTTACCCATTTACATGTGGGTTTTATATTTAATATAATTGAGAAAATGTCCATGCCCTTATTATTTCTACTTTTGATGTATTTAACTGGTTTAATTTCATCGTATTCTCTTTTAGTGAGTAATAATATTGTTCAAATTCCTGATGTGACATGAAAGGCGCTTCATAAATGCAATTTGTTGGACGTTAAAAAAATTGAGAGATTCATGAAACATGTTGGAGTTTTGAGTGGGTTGCAATCAGAGCAATATAATAAATCAATACATGCACACAGGGTTATTTCTGGATTATTTTTGAATTTAGGTTGCCTTATGTTCAAAAAAATTATTTTTAAATTCATGAAAACTTAAATTTAATAATAATCCTTGAATTTGACACAGCACCTTATCACATCTTCCAGATATTTCAAAGCGCTTCACAAAATATACTGTAAAGTGAATTGCCTGTATATTTTGTGGATGAAATGTGGCAGCCAATTGCGCACAGCAGCGTCCCACAAACAGTCGTAGTTGGGTGACCAAATTATTATTTTTTTAAATATATTTTTACTTTTTTTTTGAAGGGATTATTACCCCCCAGGAAAGCAATCCGCCAATCGATTCACAACCAGGTTCCTTTTTACTGCTAGATAGACATAGGCATGTGGAATAACAAACCTTGCCTAAGGTTTCGTCGTCCCCGGGAATCGAACCCAGGTCCTCTTGCTTGCGAGGCGAGTGCTCTAACCAATATGCTACAGGAATCCATTATGTGTAATTGGCAGCCCAACCTAATCAGGATTATGAGCAACCTGGAGCTAGTAGCCTAATGCAGTAGTGGAAAACATCTGAATCCCACCTTTGTTGCAGACTTTGTTAATCGCATTATTCTCATGTGCACATAAACTTTCTATAAATATGGGTTGCTTTTGGGCAAGTCTGATATTTCCATTTAATTATATAGAGAATAATGGATATTCAGGAATTTAGTCACCACACCTCGAGGAAGAATGGATTGGCTTACAGTGATTTAGTATTCTGCCTGATCACTTCTTCGACTTAGGTGCCAGTTGGCTCAGATTCCAGGTACCTCCCTTTTTGTCAGAAGTTGTGGGTTCAAGCCTCTGTTGGGACTTTGAGTTCATAATCAAGGTTAACACTAGCACCATTATGTTTCTCCAGATAAAATTGGTTACTTTATGGCTGTGTTTGTTCACCTTCACCACGTTGTCTGCCTATATGCTTATCTTATACCAAATGCTAATAATTAATAATAATTAGTAGTATTATTAAAAGTTGCCCAAACCATAATTTTGGTTTCCCGATCCACATCATTATCAGTGACCAAACCTTCGGCTATTGCAACGCTCACCTTTGAAACTTTCTCCCTGTATATCTGTCTTTAAATCTCACCTAACACCTTCTTCTTTAACCGTTCTTAAAGTTGCCTCCCCTTTCTTCTCTTCCCCCTCCCTGTTCTCCCTCACTCAGTGTCCGGGCCCATCCCTGTGAAGTACTTGGGCATTATCCTGTATGAAAGGTGCTATATAAATCCAAGTTGTGTACAAATTGGCTGCCATGGTTACCAACAAATAATCCCTTCACTTTACGGAAAACTTTCTAAAGCACTTGAGACATTCTCGATGTCGGATGCTGTATCAACTGCACCAATTATGATTAAGTCTGTTAAGTAAGGAATACTGCTGGAGCATTCCGTGATGGTTGCCATTCTCCTGCTATCCAGCAAGACAGTTCAAAGCTATTCATTTAGGAACCAGTGTCCCAATAACCATATAACATGTGAAAGAGACAAATAGCCGTGGGTTGAGTGACCAAATTAGTAATTTTTCATTTAATTTTTTAAGGGATTACCCTCAGAAGCAATCTACCATTCGACTAACAACAGGTTTCCTACTTACTACTAGGTAAACCAAGGCATGTGGAGTAATGAAACTAAAGTTTTGCCCTGCCAGGGAATCAAACCCGGGTCCTCGCTTGTGAGGCGAGTGCTCTAACCGCATTTATTCTGTGATGTAGGATGCTGGAGTTCACCTGTGTGAATTGTCGCTTTTGATTAAAAATGTTTAGTGATTTTAAACACAAGCTACTTCCTCAACATAGGAGTAGAGCAAATTAGACCAGGGTAGAATATTCACTTCACTATAAACATTTTGAATTCAATATTGTAGAAAGAGATATGGAAAATACCTGACTGGGCTTGAGCAAATTTCTTTCAGATATTGTTACCCCATTTTGGGGGGGTCAGTTGGGTGTCTGTCACATGTGGAAACCCATCACTGTGCTCAGTGGTTAGAGCAATCGCCTTACAAGCGAGAGACTTGGGTTCGATTCCCGGCAGTTCAGGGCGAAACCTTGGGCAAGTTTCCTTACTCCACACACCTGATAATAATCCCTCAAGAAAAAACACAATAATAATTTGGTCACTCAATCCACGACTTCTTTGTGGGACGCTGCTGTGCGCAATTGGCTGTTACGTTTCGCCCATAAATATAGTCAATTCACTTTACAGTGTATCCTGTGAAGCGCTTTGATACGTCTAGGAGACGTGAAAAGCACTATATTAAATTTAAGGATTATTATTGTTAAGATTATCCAAACTCAAACTGAGAATTCCATGTATACCACCTACACATGGAAATCCCACAGATAGATTGTTGGAATTGATTGCGTACTAACAATCTGTTGTTAGTCCTCCCTAAGCCTAACAGATGGAAAAATTAGCCATTTGCCTGTTGCAAGTGAGAAATCCAAAGCTAGTGTAATGTATTTCCAAGAAACAAAGTCCAGTAAACAAAGCTGGTTCCAAGAAGATAACAGTATTGCTTTCCTCATCCACTAAACTTTTATGCTGGCGCTATTTATACCATTGAGATATGGGCTAAGTTTCATATTGAATGCGGGTTTGAATGAAACAACATTGAAGTGTTATTGTAATGAATGCCTAACATGTATATAGTGGTCAAACAGGTTGAAGTCCGTTATTCAAACATAACATTTACAGAACATCTTGTTATTGTTAGTAGATTTTTTTTGCATTTAGGAATGGAAGATTTTTGAAACCTCATCATAATTTTGAACCAACTGTTTAATCTGTTGTGGAGTCCTATAGCTTAGTGGTCAGAGTACTCGCCTCGCAAGTGAGAGGACTTGGGTTTGATTCCCGGGCAGGGCGAAAGAAAGGGCAAGTTTCCTTATTCCACACGCCTCTGTTCACCTACCAGTAAGAAGGAACCTGGTTGTTAGTCATTTGGTGAATCGCTTTTCTGGTGGTATTAATTCCTTAAAATTAAAAGAAAACTTACAGTCAATCCACTTTACATCGAGAAGATGTGGTAAGATGCTATATCAAATGCAAGGACTATTATCATTATTGTATATTGCATTTCTTTCATGAATTTCACGAATGACATTAATCAATCAGCAAAAAATTGGCAACTATTCCTTTTTCTTCACAGAACATGGACATTATGTGGGACCCCAGAATATCTTGCACCAGAAGTGATACAGAGCAAAGGCCACGGGAGGGCAGTGGACTGGTGGGCGCTAGGTGTGCTCATGTTTGAAATGCTATCAGGGTAAGTGTGTTTTGAAATTTTTGAATTAATGTTCCTAAACATTCGTAGCATTGAGACGTCCTTTTATTTAAATTTGTTGTTTAAGAATACAGGATGCTACGATTATTTTGAAAACATATATATTTGAAAGCAAAAATTATTCCAATTATGTATAAAATGTTTTGGGTCAGATTAATGAGAATTGAGTAATAACCATTGTGGAGTCCTGTAGCGTATTGCTTAGAGCACTCGCCTCGTAAATGAGAGGATCGGGGTTCAATTCCCAGGCAGGGCGAAACCTTCGGCAAGATTCCTTACTCCAGCTCCTCTGTTTACCAGCCGTATGTAGGAACCCGGTTGTTAGTGGATTTGCAGATCGCTTTCTGGGGGTAATAATTCATTCAAAAAAATAATATTAAAAATAATAATTTGGTCACTCAATCCTCGACTGTTTATGGGACGCTGCTGTGCCCAATTGGCTGCCGTGTTTCACCCACAAAATATACAGTCAATTCACTTTACAATATATTCTGTAAAGCGCTTTGAGATGTGTTTCCGACATGATCAGGTAATACATTAAAACAATATATACACAACAATTTTTTGCCTATTTGTTTAAAGTTAATTTGATTCATTCTACATGTTAGGGAGGATTTAGTTTTTACCTATTTTATTTATTTTGAATAATAGGGATTAGGATTAATATCTAGTCAGAAAGTCTGGCTAACTGGACTGGATCTACCCCTGTTTGTCTGTTTAGCTGGTGGTTTACTGTACATGCTCTTTTACCATTGCCATTCCACCCTACATTCTGGTCATCCATTTAAAACTTTGTCCAAGCTCTGTTGTTGCTTCAAAAAAAATACTGCAATAGATTACTCTCCCTTCAAGGAAGCCCTATTCACTTTCTCTGGTGGCTTTTATTATTCCTTACAGAGGTCTCGTAAATCCACAGATAATCTCACAGCTTTGTACTTTCCGTTATCATTTAGCTGCATTTTGTCAATTGATGTTAGCGTTCCCCCGCCTCTAAGCACTCCTACACCGCTCTGATTTTCAATTAAATATTCTGGTCACCATGTGGCCAATTTTATCAGACACTTCCTTGTTATGTACTTGGTGCCTTGTTTCTCTCCGCCACCCACCATACCTCTGGATTCCTAATTAATTCAACACACAGTCCGGGGTCCCTAAGCCTTGGCTCTCGCCAACCTTCGCCTAATACTTACCAGAATTAGGTAAGCAGGTTGTGTCCCTCCAGGGAGAGAGAGAGAGGGAATGCGCATTCCATTCCAACAATCCTATCTCTGGGATTTCTGTGTGTAGATAATAATAATAATAATAATCCTTGCATTTGATATAGTGCTTTTCAAGTCTTCTAGACATCCCAAAGCGCTTCACAGAATATACTGTAAAGTGAATTGACTGTATATTTGTGGGCGAACGCGGCAGCCAATTGCGCACAGATGGGATGCATGGAATCCTCAGTTTGGTTTGGAGACTCTTCAGCAACAGTGATGGGTTTCCACGTGTGTCAGACACCCGGCTGACTCCCAAAAAACATAAGGATTCCTTTTCTACAGAAGGATTCCACTTATTTGATCTAATTTAAACATATAAACATGGATGAATTTTCACCACTAAACGAAATGTGTATTAGTTAATTTTTTTTTCAAGAGGATCTTGAAAAATACTGCATTTTCATGTTCTTATTTATTCGTCAATGTCAGTCTGATATTTCCCGACCCCCTCTACTCAAAGCCTGGCTGTCACTTCAAATTTTACTCACACCTCGTAATTCAATGATATGGTTATCCTAGAAAATGTTTCCATTTTCATAAATGTAATATGATTGTCAGCCAAGAGCAATAAATCAGACCTGGGTGGCACTGCAGGAGGCACGGTGGTCTGGAGCAGCTTTCTCGGTTATTACTAGGCAGGAAAATGTAGGCTTTCTATTAAAGTGAAAAATATTGGATTTGGAAAATGTTACTAAAGGGTAACAAAGATGAGACGTTTCGATTTAGTGTAGTTCTGAATTAACAAATGGCACAAAAGATTAGCCTTTTCACGGAGAAGGTAGATTGATCTCCTATATTGTTTTGAACACAGTCTGTATTCAGGTTATCCAAATCCATAATAATAATCGTTGGATTTGATGTAGCGCCTTATCACATCTTTGAAACGTCTCAAAGCGATTCACAAAATATACTGTAAAGTGATTTGACTGTATTTTGTGGGCGAAACGCGGCAGCCAATTGCACCCAGTCTAGAATTATTTAATGTCATACAAATGTCTCATAGATTTTTTTAAAAAATAACATGGCAGTGACGCATCAAATTTGTTGCCTGATTCTTTGCCCTTTGGTCCAGTGCAGATCAGATATGGAAATGTTTTGGCTTGGTGTAGTGTAATAATGAGCAGAATAAATTGATTTGCTCGACCATAGGCAAGTTGGTCATTTGAGTGGATTCATGTGGGGTGAAAACATTTTAATTTGAATGGTGCCAGTCATCATGGCTCCCATTCCCACTTTTCACACCACGAGTGCTGGAGTTTTGTTCAAGAGGCTATTGGATGGTAGCTGTGGACAGAAACAACAATAACTTGCATTTATATAGAGCCCTCCTTGCCGGGGGGCGTCCCAGAGCACTTAACAATGGTGGAGCCCGATGCTGAAACTCTGGAACTCTCTCCCTCTATCCCTCCGCCTTGCCCCTTCCTTCCCCATCTTCAGGTCGCGCCTGAACACCTTCCTCTTTGACTGTGCCCCCTCCCCACGACTTGGCATCATGCTCCACTACTGTTAAGCGCTCTGGGATGCTATCCTGTGAGCGCCTTGGGACATCCTCCCTACGGCAAAGGCGCTATACAAATGTAATTTTGTATTAGGAGGAGCGCTATATAGATGCAAGTTGTTATTGGAAAAGGAAATTCTTATGTGTCTCACTTTTCCCTTGATCAAAGGATCCTTTACAGGATTTTGGAGTGGATTATATAAATAGCCCGTTATATGATGTTGTCACAAAGGAAAATTTAGTTTTCAGTGTTTCTGATTTGCTGAGAACATCAAACAGAACATCACATAACAATCTACTCTTAAATTCTATGAGGATCCTTTATAGCTTTGACTAGAGGGTAATGGGAGAGGGACTAGGAGGGTTGGAGGCTCGTGAAGTATAAACGTCAACACAGACTACTGCTCTGAATACATTCAATGTAGTCTTTATGTAGTGCCTTTCATGTCGTCAGAACATCTAAAAGCATTTGGCAATATTGGGGAGCTGGGGGTGGGGGAGGGCAAAGATAACCAAAAGTGTGGTCTCGGAGAGACTGAGTTCCAGAGAGTGGGGGCAAAATGATCTGTTTTCCTGCTCGAGACTATGTAATCAAGACTTGGTATCCAAAGTGACCTTCACAAATAACTGATTTAATTTGCATCCGTAATTGCTGTCATTTCCCATTATTTGATAAAAGATAAGATTTATGTGTCAAGAGCGCATTAAGCTATGAAGGTTCAGCTACACAGTACACAGTCACTCGACTTTACAGTCAACCCTGTGAAGCGCTTTGAGACGTCCTTGTGGTGCGAAAGGTGCTATATCAAATACAAGAATTATTATTATCACCAGATGTTAAACTGAAGTTGATTGATGTACATTCTTTGTGTACGTACTCTGGTGCTTTCAGTTGAGAATGATATTTCCCCTCACGTGTTAATTGAAGGAAATGTAAAATATGCTTTTGGTAGTAAATTTTTCCAGACTGCACCTATAAAACCTTTATTGAAGCTTAAAAGTTTACAGCAGGGTATGTGTACTCTGTGAACTGCTGGAGGAATTTTGATGGCAGGTGTCCTTTTTGGTATAGGCATCTTTTTTGAAGGGGCGTAATGTTGTATTATATGTTGTATGATAAATAATCTTTGAATTTGAAATACATTCGCAACACAATTTCTATTATCCCAGGGGTAATAAACCCTTTAAAAAATAATAATAATAATAATTTGGTCGCTCAATCCATGACTGTTTGTGGATCACTGCTTAATGCAATTGGCTGCCGTGTTTTGCCCACAAAAATATATAATCAATTCACTTTACAGTATATTCTGTGAAGTTCTTTGAGACGTCTCAGCGACGTGATAAAGCGATATATAAAATGCAAGGATTATTATTAAAAATGCATCATTAAGACTCTTAGGACAGGTGGTAAAAGTTGCTTGGATTAGTATGTAAGTCATGCCTCCATCAAAAATACTGCACAATTTTTGCACAAAACCTCAGTCTCATGCTTATCTTAAACAAAAAGATTTGTTTAACGTTGAGTGGGAATTGAGCTACGGTTACCATAGTAATCCCATTGCTTGTACAGTAAACCATATTAGTCGGGGCAATAACATTTAGTATGGACTGGCGTGAAGTCCGAGTTACAGGCAAACTTGCACAGATCGGATAAAATTTGATTTAAACAATAATCTATACTGTGCATCTGTAATTCAATGCAGTTGGTAAGTGCGCATGTGGTGACAGGTCAAGACTATGATTCCTGCGATTCAATAGATCTTGACCCATCGTCGCTTGTGCACTCACCATCATTGGAATCGCATTGAATCGCAGGAAATTAAGCTTTTCTGCAGTTGGGGCGATGGATCAAGACTACATTTCCCGCCATTCAATGCAGCCGGCCAGTAAGGGCGCATATGTTAACGGGTCAGGACATCGTTGCCTGCGTTTCAATTGTGCACAGCGGTGTCCCACAAACAGTCGAGGATTGAGTGACCAAATTATTAAAATAATAAGTAAAATAATTTAAATTTTGAAAGCTAATGGAGGCTTGTGTTAGTCCCAAAAGATGAGAGATGCTCTGTTTCTTAAGATAAGACTTATGCGAGTTTTACTATATTGCCTAAATGTATTAGTACATTTTGTTTTGCAGAACTGCAATGCTGAAACTAATGAATTGAAGTTTCTAGTTTGATTTATTACAATACTGTTTTTTCAAGGGTAGAAACAGCTGATCCTATTCAGACTAGACTTAACCACTCACCTCTGCAATTTCATTTCACTATTGACTGCTGGTTCCTCGCCAATTTGCAGTGTAGTAATTTTTCTTCTGCCTGTGGCCTTTCTCCTGTCTGGCATCGAAGCTCCCTTTTAGTGAGTATGTGATGCATTGCTTCTTTTCTGCCCCCTCCCTTCCCACCACCCCCACCCCCCACACCCACCCACACACACTCACACATTAAAAAAAATCCCCTCCACAGTGTCGCATTGTTTTATATTTTTCTACATATTATCTTTGTACTGAAATTTCGGGTGAGCTTTCTATAATTTTTTTTACTGCAAATACACGTGAAATAGGAGGTAAAGACTAATATTGCTACGTATTAAGTCTGAATTTTAGAAATAATATAATAATAAACCTTGCATTTGATATAGCGCCTTATCACATCGTTGAGATATCTCAAAGCGCTTCACCGAATATACTGTAAAGTGTAGTGACTGTATATTTTGTGGGCAAAATGCGGCAGCCAGTTGCGCACAGCAGTGTCCCACCAGAGTCTCAAAGCACTTCACTGAATGTATTGTAGAGTGTAGTGACTCTCTTTTGGAGGCAAAACCCAGAGCCAATTGCGCACAGCAGTGCCCCACAAAACAGTCGTGGATTGAGTGAGCATATTTGTTTCTTTTGGGGGAGGATTCTTACCCTGAAAAATTACATTTGCATAGTGCCTTTCACATCAGGAGGACATCCCAAGGCGCAGAGGTGTGAGGAGTAAGGAAACTTGCCTAACATTTCTCCCTGCCCGGGAATCAAACCCGGATCCTCCTGCTTTGTGAGGCGAGTGCTCTAACCACTAAACCAGATTAGTCCCAGATTTATGCCTTCCCCTATACCCTTCTCAAATATTGATCCAATTCCCTTTTTGAATGCTATCATGGGTTTGGTTTACAGATTGGTGCAGACTGGTTTGGAGCCACATGAGCTGTTTAGTGTATGGTCATTAATATTTATGAGTCTTTTGGTCATTCAATCCTCAAAAATTCAGTTTACTTTTCGTATCCCAACCGTTTATAGTACACTTCATGTCACAAGGTTGGAGAATGTTCTCCAGTAATTAGAAGGTATATAGAATTATAGATCGTTCTAGGTAGCAGGATATTTACAAAGTTGTAAATTTGTGGACAAAATGCTCCTCTTTGTGTTCAGTTTCAATTTACAAGTGAATTTTAATAGCTTTCATTTACTGGTACCTGCAACAGGAAGGCATGATAAGCCAACTGGCTTCCGATGGGCTGTACATTTCTATGGTAACCAGTTTAATAGTCCAGTCTGTGTGGTATTGAACGCTTGTTACTCCAAACAAATTTTTACAAAATTATGTAGATGTATATTTGTTGACTAAAAATGTTTCATAATTTTTAAGTTGTTAATTACCTAATAATAAGTAGGAACCCAGTTTGTCGATTCGCAGGTTGATTTCCGGAGTTAATAAAATCCCCTCCTGCCCCCACCCCACCACCAACCCCCAAAAATTGGTCGCTCACTCTATGACCGTCTGTGGGAGATTGCTGTGGGTAATTGGCTGCCGCGTTTCACCCCCAAAAAGACAAGTCAAATCACTTTGCAATACATTGTGTGAAGCGCTATGAGATGTCTCAATGACGTGATACAGTGCTACATCTGATGTAAGGAAGGATTATTATTTTGTATTCATTGTTTCTCTGACTGCTCTACAGGTACCCACCATTTTTTGATGACAACCCCTTTGGAATTTATCAAAAGATCCTTGCTGGAAAGTTGGAATTCCCAAAGCATCTTGATTTCTATGTGAAGTAAGTTTCAATTAAGCTCTGTACTATACTGAAATGGTTGATGAGATGGAGATGTATATATTGAATATTATTCTTCAACTTACTTTCTGTGTATTCCCTGCAGCACTTCGAACCAAGTATGATTATATCTAAGAAAAAACACAAATTACCTCACCAATTTTATGTGAATAGCATGTTCAACTATCAAGTTTATTGCTGTTAGAAACCTATCTAATGTTAATTCATTGCGAACAGGAGAAGGGGTTTGAATGTAATTTAAACTTGTTGTGCAGCAGATGTGCTTACTTGTCCTTTCAGTTCCTTGTTAGTCCTAGATTTTGTTTTTGCAAGCTATGTTCTTAAAATCAAAAAGAAATAATAATAAATTAGTCACTTCAGTCCACAGCTGTTTGTGGGACGCTACTGTGTGCAATTGGCTGTCCCGTTTCACCCACAAAATATACAGTCAATTCACTTTACAGTGTATTCTGTGAAGTACTTTGAGACGTCTCGAAAACGTGATCAGACGCTGTATCAACTGCCAGGTTTATTATTATTAATGGATTTCAAGATCCTCTCACTCGTTTTCAAATCCGTTGGTACCGTTGCACCTCCCTACCTCTCAATCGCCTTATTCCCCCACTCCACCACCCGCTGCCTCCTGTTTGTTCTCTCGTCCCCTCCACTCCACCATCGGTGGCCGTGTCTTTTGCCATTATTCACCGAAACTCTGGAATTCTTTCCCTCAATCCCTCCGCCTTGCCCACTTCATCCCCACTGTTAAATCCTGCCTAAAGACCTTCCTTTATGATCATCACCTTCCCTCTCTCGCTGGCTCGGAATCAGACTCGGCCACTGTCAAGTGCTCTGGTACGTTACCCTGCGTGAAGGGCGCTATATAAATGCAAGTTGTTGTACAATGTCTCTTTACAGTACTCTTTTCTGAATCTGTAAAAAGTGTATTTCAGACAACTGCTATGCAGCGACTGGGACTGTCAAATAACCGGATCTTATTCCCTGTACCTAACCCATGGAATGAATGTTCTCACTCAGCACGATTGAGGCTTAGCTTGCACTGTTTTCCCCCAAACCTATATTAGGCGCAGGTTGGCAAGAGCCAAGGCTTGGGTATCCCAGAGTGTGCATTGGGGAACTGCTGGAGTCTTAACCAGCTAAACCCACATAGTTTGCCATTGATATTGCTGCCTGACAAGCTTTCCCACTGCTTGTCCAGCTGGGACCACCCTATCCATTAGGGCTTTGACTTGCAGGGTTAACAAGAGCTGAGTCGGATGACTCCCTGCCCCCAGTGGCTAGTCTGCCCTTCCATGTCCTGTCAATGAGCCAGGCTGGGCTGTGCTGTCATCAGCAGTGAGTGCCCTGGAAGACTTCGGCCCTGGCTAAGTCTTGAAAATAGAAGAATGTGTGCCTGCTGTTTTATTTGTTCCTGTTCTGTAATTTATTTACCAGGTAGCCCAATTGCTTGGCAAACACAGTTGATACTGTGAAGTTTTTTTTAAATCTCTATGTTCCAATGGAATTAGTTGGCAGAAATTGAATTGGAGGCTGAATAGTAATAAAAATAACCAAAATATCAAAGAAAGTAAGCATGTCTCTATTACAACATCTGGTTTATGTTCAATCTTGGGTGCCTTATGTTGGCCAAGGAGGAAATTCACCATCAATTCACCAGTGTGATAGCTGGGATGAAGGTGATATCTGTGCTGAGATGCTAAATAAATTTAGGTTATATTCCCACATCTGATAAGACAAACTGAGTGATATGAAAACAAGAATTTTGACAAAGGAGGTAGGAAACGACACTTTCACCTCGTGAAGAATCGAAAACATAGTGACATAACGTTAAAATTGCAGCTTTGTTTCCCCAAATGACCAAGCGGGTAAAGGCACCATTTAGTAGTGTATGGTTAGAGAGCTCGCCTCACAAGTGAGAAGACCCAGGTTTGATTCCCGGGTGGGGCGAAACCTTAGGGAAATTTTCTTACTCTAGCACCTCTGTTTACCTAGCAGTAAGTAGAATTGGTTTCCAGGGATAATAATCCTTCCCCAAAAGAAAAAAATGTAGTCACTCAATCCACGACTGTTTGTGGGGCACTGCTGTGCGCAATTGACTCTGGGTTTTGCCTACAAAAGATAGTCACTACACTTTACAATATATTCTGTGGAGCCCTTTGAGAAGTCTCAATGACATGATAAGGCTCTATATCATATGCTAAGATTATTATATTAATAGTAGCACTTAGTCATACAGACTTAAAGGTTATGCTGAGGAAGCTGATCTCAACCAGTGCAGCAATTAGGATACATACTACAGTACTAGTAGTTTCAGTGTCACGTGATTAGAGAGGAGAAAACTCCGGCTCCTAATGGTTATCCAGAGACCTTTCCTGAATGATACGTATATCTTACCTGTGACTGTTCTTCATTGTTTCAGAGACCTCATAAAGAAACTTCTGGTTATTGACCGGACAAGACGATTAGGAAATATGAAGGTAAATAAAAAGTGATGGTTTGCTGAAAGCTGTAAGATATTTGTACCTACGTAGATAACCAATTTCTTTTTTTTTACAGTCTTTTGAAATTGTCAAAGCGAATTGCACAAATCATTTTTTATGTGCTTAGGAATGAATTACTGAAGTGTATATATATATTAGTGGTGGCCAAACTGTGACTGGAAGTGGCCCCCGACCATTCGCACAAGTATAGGGAAGTCCGTATTCGATCGATTGTGTGTTTTAATTTTTTTCTGAAAAAAAATCCTGATTGATTTATCTCATAAATTCAGAAATATTCAATCAAGAAAATGTATTTTGTCAGGCGACCATAAAGGTTGACCACCACTAATGTATATCTAAAGACTCCCATTTCGGAGTTCCTCTGCACCCCTCCCTCACCTCTTTTCAGATCTGTCTCAAGATCTTCCTCTTTGACCGCACCTTCGGTCACCTTTCCCTTTCCCTAACCGCACCCTCAGCTCCCACTACCAGCTCAGAGCCCAAGCCAAGACCGTCAAAGACCTTAGGAAGTCTACCCGACATGAAAGAGATGTATGAATATAAATTTTGCAATGTATAAATGTAAATTTGTATTGTAAGTTGCTTTCTGGTGTGTGAGGAAAACATCAATCTGCTTAGTGAAATGGGAACTTGGCCAGAGTAGGATGTCTAAGTGAGGAAGGAGTGCTGAAACAGATGTTAATGAGTGGTTTTCCAATTGTGTTTGAGATGTTACCTAACAATACTAAAGATGTAGAAGAGCAAATACTTCAATAAAATAACTCATCCAAACATTGTCATCTTCACACATTCCCAAAAATGATTTTTTTTTAAAAAAATGCCTTGTTTTTATAAAACTTTGTGACTCATTTACCTGTCCTTCAGATCAGACATCAAATTGAGGTTACATTTGCCTGTTTGGGGCGGAGAGGTGGTGGGGGAGATAAAGAGGAGACATTGAAGAGCCCATGACGCTATTGGAAAAGTTGACTTTTGCCAATTTTCAATATCATTTATATTAGAATTCTCTGTCACAAAGTCTGGAGTTGAATCAGTCCATAAATTCTTTTAAAATGATTAGACAGATGTTTGCAAAAGATGAATATGAAAGGTTATGGGAAGAGCAAGCAGGACTGCTCTAACCACTGAGCTGCAAGACTCTACTTTTTGTCATTTTTTGTAAAAATTTATGGATGCACAGTCATTAATAGCACCAAGCTGCTGCTTATCTTTGATAACATAGTATTTTGTTTTTGTTGTGTTTGAATTTCTGAAAACTAATTGTCAGACGTGGTAATTTCCTGTAGCAATGGAAAGGGCTCTGGATGGGATGACTATCTTGAGGTCTACCTGGGTACAGTTTCTTTGATGATGATTGATGAGGTCTAGGATTCCACTTAATATGTAATGAAGAAGAGTTTGAGTAGCTGGAGCTCAGCTGGATTCAAGGTAGTGCGTTTGGCAACGGAATATCAGCATCAAGTCAACCCTCTGTGGTGTTCTTGGTGATCTGGTTCCTGAGCCAAGCGGATCCACAGTACTCTAGGGAACTACTGATGATGGACCAGCTAACCTATCCCCAGGACTTGGAGGGATAGATGAGTTACTCGGAGCAGGGATTCTTCTCACTCAGCTCCTGTTAATCCTGCAAGCCAAAACCCTAACGGGTAGAGTGGTTCCAGCTGGACAAGCAGCGGGAAGCTTGCCAGACTCTCATGCTCTCAATGGCAAGCTATGCAGTTTTAGCTGGTTAGACACCACCAGTTACCGCAACAACAACCACAACAAAATTACATGTGTAAAGCGCTTTTCACGTTGAGAGGACGTCCCAAGGTGCTGGACAGACAGAATTTCGGACCCGAGTTGGGGGTCGTGGTCGGGCAGGGTGGAGGGAGGGGGGGAATCAGGGAGATTGAAAGCACGGTCAAAGAGGAGGGATTTGAGATGGGTCTTGAAGATGGCAAGGGAGGGGATGAGACGGAGGTACTGCGGGATGGATTTCCGGAGGGTGGGGGCAGAATGGCAGAAGGCCTGCCCGCCAATGGTGGGGTGGGCGAGGCGGGGGACGTGAAGCAGGCCGGAGCCCGCTGAATGGAGGGAGCGAGCAGGATGGTAGGGGGTTAGAAGGTCGCAGAGGTAGGGGAGAGCAAGACCACGGAGAGCTTTGAAGTTGAGGACCAAGATCTTGAACTGTATCCTCTGTGTGATGGGAAGCCAATGGAGTCGAGAGAGGATGGGGGTGATAGGGTCATGGAGCCTAGTGCGGGAGAAGTTTCCTTGTGTAGATGTCATGCAAATGTGGAACCCTGTCTGGTTTGGATACTCTTTCTTAATCAAGGTGATGAGTTTCTGCATGCGCCAGACACCTCGCTTTTTCAAAACAAAAATGAAATTGCATTCATAGCATTTAATTATAATTGCAACTTTCCAAAGCAAGGTCTGACTCGCTTTATGAGCAATGGTAAAATAGCAACATAAGTGGTAAATTCAGTTGGCTTCACTGCATCAGGGAAGGTAAACAATATGCAGTTGTAATTTTATGGGATCAGTGGCCGTCTCTATTGGGATGAATTAAAAGGAAACAAGAAGTGATAAGCAAACCAAAACAGATCACAATTAATGAGTTTGGCGAAATAATGGTCTGCATAAAATTCCACAAATATAGCTGACCTAGCAGTTTATTCCGTAATTATAGAGTTCTTTATGGTGTAGGTTTGATATAAACTGATACGTTATGTCTTAGAGATTTGCAGTTCATGTCGCAGCTGTAAATCATTTAGAATTGAATGAACAATAGGGATATTACTGATTTACTGGCTCCATACTTTCCACACATAACTCAGCCTTCATGTGAAAAAGATTAATGAGAGAAAGCAGAGTTTCAGATAAAGTAGTTCAGTGGTCAAATGACTGAATGACAAAGCTCTTGAGAGCTATATTTATCAGCAGGAAAGCCCTGCATAACATTTGTTTTTACTTAAGTGGCAACTTGCCACAATCAACCAAGTTATAAGATTCAGAGGAACAATGGATAATTCCTCTAAAACTCCCATGAAGCAAAAATATACCATATGTTAACACTAATTCCATTAAAATAGATTTACTATAGATATTCTATACTAGAAGAGTGTGAACAAATTTTACTACCATTTCAATTTGTTAAATCAATAAGTTTCAAATCGTTTAGAAGAACAATGCTAATTAGGCCTTTGGTTAACTTTAGACACTTATGTCTATGTTTTTGTTCTTTGTACTATGAACAGTGAATTCTTTGCTCTGCCCCTTTCTCCCTCCGCAGTGTAGGGAGCAGTCAATGTGGCATCCTGTAGCTCAGTGGTTAGAGCACTCACCTCACAAGTGAGAGACCTGGGTTTAATTCCAAGCAGGGCAAAACCTTAGACAAGTTTCCTTACTCCACATGCCTGATAATAATCCCTCAAGAAAAAAAAATCGTAAAATTGGTTACTTCAATCCAAGACTGTTTGTGGGACGCTGCTGTGCGCAATTGGGTGTTGCGTTTCGCCCACAAATATACAGTCAATTCACTTTACAGTATATTATGTGAAGTGATTTGAGACGTCTCAAAGACTTGAAAAGCACTATATCAAATGCCAGGATTATTATTATTACATTATAAAATGGAACAAAATGCCCAGCCTTGATTAATTTGTATTCTTACCTGTTTTTAATATGCTTGTTAATTTGGACAAAACCTGGTTAACCCAGACAGACAAAATGCCAAAGGGTTCCTGATATCTTCCCGTTTATAAAATTCATTATTAATATGTTGCCCTAATGTAGTAATAATGACAACCCTTGCATTTGATACAGCTTTGAGACTTCTCAAAGCGCTTTACAGAATATACTGTAAAGTGAATTGACTGTAAGAAATGGTTACAAAAAAAAGCATGGAATCTTAAGTGCACAGTATTTTCTGAATCTTACATGAACATTTGACATAGAAACAGAGAATGCTACAGAAGGAGGCCATTAGGTCTTTGAAAGAGCTACCAACTAGTTGCACTCCCCCCGCTCTTTCCCCAGAGCCATGCCAATTTTAAAAAAAGTTCAAAGCCAACAGCACCAGACTGCTAACAAAAACAATCATTTACATGAAGCTCAGATGTCTGTCTGATCTCTATAACATTGTAAAGTGTTAACACACAAAAAAATTATCTTGTGAATAAGCTTCACTTCTAGGAGCCATCTTAAATGTGGTGTTCCTGATAAAAAGAGTCTGCCTGGACTAAGTTTTCTTTGTTGTATATTTGAAAGGTTTCATTGTGCTCACAAATATCTTTTTTTGGCTTGTGGTCAGTTTTAAGAGAACAAGGTAAATTAATCCTGTATACTCTATTCCCTCATAATGAACTGCTCAACAAGGGCTTCCCCATAGGGTGGGAGGAAAATTGAAAGCCAAGTTTATTCTAGTCTGTTTTAACATGCATCTTGTGGCTGGTTTAAAAATGTCACGAGTGGAGTGCTGTAGCTCAGTGGTTAGAGCACTCGCCTCACAAGTGAGAGGATCTTGGTTTGATTCCCGGGCAGAGAGAAACCTTAAGCGAGTTCCCGTACTCCCACAATTTCTGTTTGCCTAGCAGAAGTAGGAACCCGGTTGTTAGTCCATTGGTGGATCGCCTTCTGGGTATAATAATCCCTTCAAAAAATAAATAATAATTTAGTCACTCAGTCCATGACTATTTGTGGGACGCTGCTGTGCGCAATTGGCTGTCGTGTTTCGCCCACAAAATAAACAGTCAATTCACTTTACAGTATATTCCGTGAGACATCTGAATGACGCAATCAGGCACTATATCAAATACAAGGGTTGTTATGGGACTATTATGACAGAGGTGAGGCAAATCATTGATCACTATCCCCATTTGGCTGGGGACCTAGAATTTGCTTAGTTCACAGAAGATTGGAAGAACCATACTCCAGCTAACATTTCTAAATTGAAACGTTTCTCTGATCCTACAGTGAATACATACAGCGCA